CTATGGAATGGGAGAAAATACTTGCAAACCATGTATCTCATGAGGAGTTAATTTGTTGGCAACGTTGTGAAGAATGAAGAAGAGGGAACCCTGGCATACTGTCAGTGGGAATGCAAATTGCAATATTGTAGCCACTGTAGAAAACATTATGGAGGTTCCTCAAGAAATTAAAAAATGGAATTATCATGATCCAGTAATTCCATTTCAGATATTTGTCCAGAAGAATATAATCTTTATTGCCAAAAACAGATACTAAATAGCAATTTGTCTAAGTAGCATAACAGGTCATTTCTTGGGACTGTGAATTCCCCCAATGATATCTTTGAATTTTTTCTATATGATAAAATCTGAAAAAAAACTTTTATTCTCCCTCAAATGTAGCTAAAAAATAGGAAGACTGGACCAAAGTTTAAATGTCTCCTCTTATATCACAAGGCCTACGTTAAACTCAGAACACCACAGACATTCATCCTCTAATTGTGGGGTCCAATTTTAACTGTTTGGAAAATTAAACATGAGAAATGCATGGCTAATATACATACATCATTGTTCAGATTATAATATCTAATTCTAAATATAAATGTTTATGCTTTCATGGGTATGATTCATTTAGCCTATAAGAAAAATCAGGTAAATTTGAAATATTAAATATGTCCATTTAGAATGGCAAAATCAATGGTTTATTAGCAGAACTTTTTTATCAAAGTATTAAACTTTTTCTACTTCTTGGTAGAAGAGGATTCTGTAACATTCTGTTGTTTGAAAGGTGATGGCTTATGGGTATGATAACATTTAAATAAAAAAAAAAAAAAAAAAGAAAGGTGATGGCTGAGCACAAAGATGTGGAAGCCATGAGGGGATGTGCATGCCAGTTATTTCTACTAAATTATCTATATCCAAGCAACTAGAACTTCAGAAACTAGCTAACAAAAATGGAATATTTCCATTGTCTTCTATGATAACCTCTCATAGGTCATGGGACCTTGAATAAGGACCAGGGAAATGTAAGTGCCCAGATGCCACCCTTTCCTACTCCCAACCAAAGCAATTCTATTTTTATTTTTTAAGCTTAGACATAATGTTTTAATAAATATTTTGAATGAAGTTTTAAAACCTAAAAACTAGAATTATAGAACTGGTATAAATCCCCCTTCATAACAAGAAGACTGACTCCTAGAAAATGAAGTGAGCTAACCTACATCAGATTACCAAAGTTTGAGAAAACCAGGGTTGGACTCCTCATTCCTACTCATGCTCTCTCCCTCCAGGCCAAGTTTTCTACCTATAGAGCTATTTGTTATGGGATAATGCTTTAATCGTAAGATTTGTGTTCCTTTTCCCAAAGATCCAATTATATTTCAGATTGAATAACTATCATATTCTCAATGTCTTATGAAATGTTTTAAATTTCTAATTCAATAATATTCTTTAAGATTGTTGAAAATAATACACAGAGTTAAAGTTCTCATAATTCTGCATGAAGAAAATTAATAAATATCCACATTGCCAGAGCAGTGCAGAAGGCTTAATTACAATTTGCTACATTTAAATATTTCCTGAAATAGATTATATAATCTAAATTTTCTACACACAATTTCTCAATTTCTCTTCATGCATCCATGGACAGACTCCTCAGTACACAGTGCAGTAAGTTGAATTGGTTTGTGATTGGAACAAATGAGAAAGAAAATGTGTGACCCATATGCATTCTAGTAACCTAACACAATAATTGTGTTTCTCTGTCAGGTTTAGATTAACCACTTATTTGATGTAACTGGCCCATTTCTTATAAATGAGTTTTCTTCTATTCAGTGTTTAGTAAGCACCTTATCAACAAGTTTACTCCTTGGGAAGAATAAAAGTCCCCCTAGACCTGACAATCTTAGAGGATTATTTGCTCACCAATGATTTTTAGAGCCCTCTGACAACTTGGATATATTTTCCAAGAATGTATATTACGAAAGACTCTAAACACTTAAACGTTTGCACTTTTAAAGTCTTAATGCTCAGAGAAAAAATGGAATCCTATCAGGATTTTCGGTGGCTATTTAGAGGATGGGATACCTGATCCATTCCTTCATTTATTATAAGAAGGTAAATTCAAGGCAGAGAAAATTCACTTGATCAAAAGAAGTTTTAGGCCCTAGTGGACTATCTATGGTTCCCACAATTGGTCCTTTTTTAAAAAATTAGACTGAGGGCAAAGAGTTGTCCCAGCACAGACTCCACGCACCATCTACATTTTCAGGATTCTATTTGCTCAGAGTTGAATGTTGAAAACTAAAAAACAGATTATGTTTACAGCTCGCAATTATAGTCCATAATATATACGCAAAACATAGATCCATATATGATGGGTATTTATTTACAACACAATATCATTTTTTGCTTCCTTACTTTAAATAGTCAGTGATCTTCATGTACTTAAAAGTACTTGACACAAAAATTCAGTATACTCAGATGTTGAAATCTATCTTTGTCACTAATCAGAAGTATGACTTTGATCTTAGCCTTATAGATGTATAAAGATTAAGTAGAATAATATATTCAAAGTACTCTGTACAGTGCATGGAGCATAATAGTTTGTTAACCAATGTCAATTTCCTTTTTTCCTACTTTCCCACTTTTCAAGATCATACAACTTTACTACTCAACTCAGGGCCACATCCAGCCTCACCTGACATCACATTCTTTCTCTCATGCTCACTCTATCTAATCATTTTCAAGTCTGGCCCAAAAAGCTCCATCAAGAACCACAGTCACTGCACACACAAATGTTTATGGAGCCATCTTTAGTGAAATGACCATGCACATCAAATTAGGAATTTCTCCTCCATCATCAACTGTTGAGTATTTCCCTCCTTGTCTGTCTTCCTCAGGGGCTTCCAGTCCAGAAACACTCACATTTTTCAACTTCTCCTCACATCCATGTCACAGTTGCAAGCTTTGTAACAAACAAACAAACAAACAAACAACAAAAAAAAAACGCCCTGAGTTAGTGTCTCTGTACTTTGAGTTCTAAAGTTTCATCTTCAAAATGAGAACATTTAAATAGCTAAACCACTCTATTCCATCTTCTTGATAGTCTCTAAAATTTAAATACAACTGTCCTTGGAAGCTATGATTCATTGAGAGCAGTGTGTTGCACGACATTTTCCTTTCACCTCACAACTCTTTGAGATAGCCTCACTATCCCCATCTTAAAAATAAAGAAATTAAGCCTCAGAGAGATTAAGCAACTGGCCCCCAGGTCATAAAGACATTAAATGACAGACGTGGTATTTGAATCTACAACTGTCTATCCCCAAGCTTCCAAACTGAGACTGGAAATTTGAATAAACTATGGAATTCAGTTTATATTAATGATTCAGATTATCTTAATTGTAACAAACGTACCATACTAATGTAAGATGATAACGATACCAGAAACTGGATGTGGTATATATAGCGACTCTCACATATTTTCTATAAATCTAAAACTGTTCTAAAATAACAGTTTATTGGAGGAGGGGAACACTATCAGGCCCTACAACTCCATTCCTAGGTATAAACTAGGTATTTACCCAAGAGAATTGAAAACAGGTACTCAAACAAATGCATGGACACGCTTATTCACAACAGCACTATTCACAGTAGACAAAAGGCAGAAACAGCTCAGATGTCCATCATCAGACAAATGGATAAACAAATTGTGGTCTGTACATACAGTGAAATACTACTCAGACATAAAAAGGAATGAAGTACTTATTTATACTGCAACATTGATGAACCTCAAAAACATAATGCTAAGGGAAAGAAGCCGTGACCCAAAGGGTCACATATTGTAATGATTTTGTTTACATAAAATATTCAGAATAGAGGCAGAATGCAGATTGATGATTATCAGGGATTTGGAGGAGAGGGAATGGGGAGAAAATGCTTAATGGGTATGAAGTTTTATTTTGGAATGGTGAAAATATTTTGGAACTAGCTAGAGATGGTAATAACAAAACACTGTGAATGTACTAGATGCTATTGGATTGTTCACTTTAATATGGTTGATTTTATGTTTGGTGACTTTCACCTCAATGAATTTTAAAAAGAGAAGGTGGCAATATTTTCTCTCTTAAAAAATAAAAACAACATAAACCTGAAAATCAATATTCCAAGACACATAAAGAAATCTTTGCTAAGGAAAACAGCTAACTAAATTCACAAGTGGAACATAAATTACTCCAAGGAAAAAAACTTCTTAAAATTTTTATCTGTAAAACAATACAATACACTCACAGAGATTAATAAAGAAATAATCTCATATAAAACTAACAAATTATAAAAACAAAATAAGATATAGTGGAAACAAATAGATATAAAAAAATTAGATGTCCTGAAAACTGAAATAGTCATGGAAATAAAAAATGTAATAAACTCAAAGCATGACTCAGACAAAGAGAGAATTAGTAGTGATAAATTCATCCAGAGCTCAGAGAGATAACAAAGTAAGGTAAAGAGCAAATAAGGAGCAAGAAAGACAGACTGAATAACTCCAATGTGCATTTAATAGAAGGTTCAGAAAAAGAACAGAATGGTGGAGGGATAGTGATTAAGAATTAAAGATTGGAACTCTCAGATCAAAATCTAAATTCAAATTCTAGACTGAAAAATTCTATATCTATTATACTGGAATTTTGGAACTTTCTGATAAAGAAAAATCTTGGAAGAAGTCATAAAAAAATAATCTACAAAGGAATTACAATTCAGCTAAGAACAGACTTACCATCAATAATTATTGATACCAGAAGTTTGTGAAGTAATATTAGCAAAATATTTTGGAAAAATTACTGAATGCTATACCTATCATTCAAAGGTAAAGGCAAAATGAAGACATTTTCAGACACAAAAGAGTCTAAGAGAGCTTATTATCTACAAACAGTCACCAAAAATTTATTAAAGGAGTATGTACCTCATCAGGATGAAAAATGAACCCGGCAGGAAAAGCCTATTGAATAAGGGGTTGGAATAAAATCAACAATGAATACAGAAAATGATTTTTTTTAAATAGGCTAACAAGTTGCATAAGCTACTGACTGATATCAAAAGATATCTGATTGTGGTTGCTTTTTAAAATTGAAACTAGGCTAAGATGGCGGTGATACGAGTTGCTCATTGTGTGAGGATCCATCACGCTCAAAATGCTGCAGCGCCTGCAGGCCGTCAAGATCCGCCTCCGCTGGGAGCCTGACAAGACGGTGAAGGTGCTAAAGGAGAAGACAGAAGCTGAGAAGGGTCGTGATGCTTTTCTCCAAACTGGACAGAAACTCATCTATGCTGGCAAGATTCTGAGCGAGGATGTCCCCATTAGGGACTAACACATCCATGAGACCCACTCTGTGGTCGTCATGGTGACCAAGGCCAAAGCTGGCCAGGGTACCTCAGCAGCCCCAGAGACCTCACCCACTGCTGCCCGGAAGTCCTCCACCTCCTTCCCGCCTGCCCCTGCCTCAGGCATGTCCCGTCCCCCACCCACCGCCAGAGAGGACCAGAGCCCATCAGAGGAATCAGCCCCTATCACATCCCCAGAGTCCGTGTCAGGCTCTGCTCCCCCTTCTGGTAGCAGCGGGCGAGAGGAAGACCAGGCCTCCACGCTAGCGACTGGCTCTGAGTGCCAGACCGTGCTGACAGGAAGTGTGTCGCTGCGCTACGAGCGGGAGCGGGTCGTGGCCGGCCGCCCCGAGAGCCAGCTACAAAACCCACCGAGCCATAGAGTACCTACTCACGGGAATTCCTGGAAGCCCGGAGCCAGAACACGGTTCAGTCCAGGAGCGACAGTTGTCCAAGCAGCCGACCTCGGAGGCAGGAAACTACCCCCTGCGCGACCGACCAATCCCAGTTCCAGAACATGCTGCGGGTGATTCGACAGAACCCTGCGCTGCTGCCCGCTCTGCTCCAGCAACTGGCCCGGGCGAACCCTCAGCTTTTGCAGCATATTAGCCAGCACCGGGAGCGGTTCACCCAGATGCTGAACGAACCCGCTGGGGAGCTAGCAGATATCTCAAATGTGGAGGGTGAGGTGGGCGCCGAAGTGGAGGAGGCCCCGCAGATGAACTGCAGCCAGATGACGCCTCAGGAGAAAGAAGCTACGGAAAGGTTGAAAGCTCTCGGCTTCCCAGAGTGCCTGGTGATCCAGGCCTACCTCACGCGTGAAAAAAAAAAAAAAAACGAGAACTTGCTGCCGACTTCCTCTTGAGTCAGAACTTTGGTAACAAGTGATGCCAGGAGACCAGGCCACCCACTGTCCCCACCCCACCCCCACTAAACGAAAGTTTTATAAAAGAAAAAATACATTTTTTTTATGTTTAAGAGTGGAAAATATCAAAAATCTTAAAAAAAAAAACAAAAAAAAAAACACCCCAGCTTCCCACCCTCCTAGTGTGGCCTTCATTCCATTCCCACCTCAGTCTGAGAAGACCCGAGACAGACAGCTGTCCCCGTCCTCCTCCCCAGCTTGGCCTGCTCAAAGGAGCTGGCAAGTCTGGGAGGCGACAGATGGGCCCCTCTTGGCTCCTGTCCCAGCTCCCTGCAGCCAGATGGAGAGGTGACTGCTTGCGTCCCCATCCCCTGAAGAGCCCCTGAGGAACCCCTGCCCTGCCTTCTTCTAGGATGAGGGGAAGCTGTAGTCTCAGACTTTGATCCTCTATTGGAGTGGCCCAAATGTTTCCATGTGGGATGAGCCCTGAAAGGCCCAAGGCCCCCTCCCCAATCTGGCCTTGCCTCCTGCCTGAAGAAGGGGTAACATCAGCTCAATGCCACCCCTACCCCAGAATAGAACCGTGTCTCTGATAAAGGTTTTGAAATTAATAAAATTTAAGAAAAAAAAAAAAAACTGAAAGTAAAAGACTTGATAATAATAAAATCATAGCAATGAGCCTAAATCTATTAGTAGTTCCAATGATGCAAATGGATTAAAATTCCTAAAAGAGAAAGAACTATTAGATTTGATTTTTAAAATATACCCAGCGGCCGGGCGCAGTGGCTCACACCTGTAATACTAGCACTCTGGTTGGCACGAGGATTGCTTGGCACGAGGTCAGGAGTTCAAGACCAGCCTGAGCCAGAGCAAGACCCCCATCTCTACTAAAAATAGAAAAGATTAGCTGGGCAACTAAAAATGGAAACAAAAAATTAGCTGGGCCTGGTGGTGCACCCTATAGTCCCAGCTACTCAGAAGACTGAGGCAGGAGGATCCCTTGAGTCCAGGAGTTTGAGGTTGCTGTGAGCTAGGCTGATGCCAGGGCACTCTAGCCCTGGCAACAGAGTGAGGCTCTGTCTCAAAAAACAAATAAAAATAAATTTTAACAAAATAAAAATATACCCAGCTATAGCCTACTTACATGTTTTAAATAAAGCAAAGTATTGAAAATAATGAGATGATCGAGAACTTACAGGAACATATTAAGCAAAACTAATCTGGCATAGCAATATTAATATTATGTAAAGTAAAATATAAGGCAAAGCGTTTAATAAGGATAAATTTTAAAAGGGACATAATAACATGTGCATAAAATAACATGAACATGTATGTTTCTGTATTAGAATAATTTAGTCTATGCTACAAAAATAAATTATACTGTCTTGATTAGTATGGCTTGATGCTAAATCTTATCATCTAAGAGTATGAGTTTTTTTACTACATTTTTTATCAAAATCTATTTTTAGTTCTAGTTTTTTTGTCTTTGTATATAAATGTTAGAATCAGCTCATCTATGTCCACAAAAATTTCTCCAAAGATTTTGATTGGAATTGTATTAAAGCTATGGATCAATTTAGGGAGATTTGACATCTTTACCATATTGAGTCTTTCAAACCATGAGCCTGGTTTGTTTTCATTCATTTATGTTTTCCTTTATTTTCTTATCAACATTTTATAATTTATATTATATAGGTCTTGCTTATATTTTGTTAGAAGATACATTAAGAGCTATTGTTAAAGCTACTGCTTTTAAAATATTGGTTTCCCATTGCTCATTGTTTGTTATGGTAAACAGATACTATGGTGGTTTCTGAGGTTCCAGCCCCCTGATGTGTTCACCCTGTATAATCTCCTTACCTTTGAGTGTGAGTATGAACTGTGAATATGATGATATAGTCATTGCTAAAATTATTTGATGTTATATGGCACAGCTAACTTTTTTTTATATTTTTTATTTTTTATTTCAGCATATTATGGGGGTACAAATGTTAAGGTTATGTATATTGCCCATGCTCAGTGTGGTTTAGTTAAGAGATAAACACACAGATAAATGGAGCCGAATAAAGAGTCCAGAAATAGACCCCCATGAATAAGGTCAGTTGATTTTTAACAAAGGTGTAAAATGAATTTAAGAGAGAAAATATATGCTTTTCAACAAATGTTTCTGGAGTAACTGGACATCCATGTGCAAAAAGAAAAAAATACCATTTGATATATACCTCATACCTTATTCAAAAACTAACTCAATATAGATCACATAAATGAAAACTAAAGAAGACTTGAGAAAAAATATTTAAAAATCTTTATGCACTTAAATTAGCCAAAAGGCTCTTGGATGATACAAAAGCATGTCCATAAAAGAAAAAAATTGATAAATTGGAGCTCATCAAAATTTTAAAAATTAGCTCTATGAAAGGCACTGTGAAGAGAAAGAGAAGACAAGGTACTGACTGGGAAAAAATATTTTCAAATCACATATTGAACAAAGGACTTTTACCAGAATATATAAAGAACTTTCAAAACTCAACAATAAGAAATCAAACAATCCACCCTACCATGGCAAAAGATATGAGCAAGTATTCTGATGGCAACAGGAGGCAAGTTAAAAGATGCTCTTCATTAAGCAAATTAAACCACAATGAGATGCCTCTACACATCTATTAGAACAGCTAAAACAAAAACAACAACCTGACAATAACAAGGGCTGGTGAAGCTGTGGAGCAACTGGAATTTGCATGTATTGTTGATGGGAATGCAAAATGATACAGCAGCCACTCTGGAAAATGATTTGGCTGTTTCTTATAAAGTTACACATCTATTTACCAACCTAGGTATTTATCCTAGAGAATTTTGCTTATAAAAACCATAAGTGAATGTTTATGGCAGCAATTTTAGTAACTACCAAAAACTGGAAACAATCAAAATAAAAATACCCTTCAATGAGTGAATGAATAAACAAATTGGCATACATCTGTATAATGGAATACTAGTGAGTGTTAAAAAGAACTAACCATTGATTCATGTAACAACATGAATGAATATTAAAGTCATTATGCTATGTGAAAGAAGGTAGTCGCAAAGGTAACAGACTATATGATTTCATTTATTTCTATCATATTCTGGAAAAGCAAAACAAGAGGTTTGGAAAGCACATCAGTGGCTTCCAGAGGTTTTGGGTAGGAGTGTGGGTTTGACCACAAAGGACAACATGAGGATATATTTTGGGTGATAGAACTGTTCAGTAACCTGATTCTGTAGTGATTACAAGAATCTGGGCATATGTTAAAATGCAGAACTGTGCACCAGTTCAAAAGTGAATATGATTGTATGTAAATTAAAAAACAAAAAATAAAGCCAGGCTATTTCTTTCAGAAACTAACTCTGATTTGACTAATAAATTGGACATTAAAGGCTTAATTAGGTAAATTTTACATAAATTGAATGAATAAAATTGACAGCCCTGAAGTTTTTTGATAAATATATATTTAAAGCACATGACAACATAAAAAGTATTTTAATAAATAAATAAAAATAAAAAAATAAATTATACTGGCTAAATAGAAAAGGTGCATTTTTCACATGAATTCCTAGGCAAATTTCATAAATCTGTAGACCAGCAGTCCCCCATGTGCTGACTCATAAGTCCTGGCAGTTTCAAATCTGTGGTTCAATCATCTCAGCATACAGCTTCCTAGGTTGCTATGGCAGGGGAGCAGATGAGCTAAGTATTCTGCACGGTTTCTTCAGTACTTCAGCCCAGCAGTGACACACACGACTTCCACTAATAACAAGATGACCAGATTTTGTCACATGGCATGACCCAACTGCTAGGAGGCTGGCATGTGGTGACAAAGCACATGCTTGTTCAGTAAGCATTAAATGTCTCTGTCATAACAACTAACAAAATATTCTTGAAATTGACAATGTAAATCTGGACAATAATATAAAGAAAAATAATAAAAAGATTGCAATGAAAGAGTTTTAATCTACTCCTATTAGAGAAGCAGAGATCAAACAAAGAAATGGTAGTATATGTTGGTTTTAGACATACATATATATAGTGAAATAGTTTTTTAAAATGCACAGAAATGCTAATCAGCAACCTTTATGATAGTAGATTGCTTCTCAGAAAGAAGTAAGGGAACCAGAATTAGAAAAGATTACACAGGAGGTTTCAACATTATTTTCAGTATTTTATTCCTGAAAAAAATCTGAAGTATAACAAAATAAAATGTTAATACTTGTTCAAGATTCATACTGGTTACATGATAATAGTTTTATATATTATATTATTCCCCATTATTTTCTGTATATTTGAAATAATTCGTATTAATTTTTAAAAGAATATATACATGGCTGCAATTGTTTTCTATGATAGGTAACAAATTATCCCAAACTTAATGGCTTAAAACAACATATATTTATTATCTCACAGTTTCCATGGATAAAAAGTCAGGGCATAGCTTAGCTGGTGACCAGATTCTCACAAGGCTGCAATCAAAATATTGGCCAGGGCTGGCATCTCATCTGAGGCTCTGGGTCCTCTTCCAGAGTCACTGGTTGTTGGCAGAATTCAACTCGTGGTGATTTGCTTCTTCAAGGTCAGTAGGGGAATCTCTGACTTCAGTCAGCTAAGCCGTATATAAGGTAACATAATCATTATCTTTGACATATAAGCTAATTAAAAGACTATCTCCTAATTTTCACAAGATTTGTTTTGACAGAGCCCATAGTAGATGTGGGTATATGGAAGAAGAATCTGCAAATGTGGGTAGGAGTCTGACAATAAGGCTCCTGCCTATATACCATGAAAGAATTGAAGAACTAGAGGATTTTAAATAAAAATAGGAAGTAATACAAGGGGTTTTATAATACCATGTTAGCAACCACAAGAAAGATGCTTTGTAAGAGCAAAAGGATTTTTTGCTAAATATTGTTAAATATCACCTGTCTTGAGCTCTGTGACATTTAACAAGGAAAGATGATTCATTTAGTTAGAAGTGTGTGCCCCTGACTTGAG